TCTGTTAAAGGAACAAGTAAAGATGTAGAATCTGCTATGTATTTATGTTTATAACTATCATGGATAGCTCTTTCAAGTTTAGTGTTTGAAGCTTTTCTACAAGGCCCAGATCTTTTTCTTCAGATTTGAGCAGCTAATGTTTTTATACCTCAGATGGGGGGAAACGGGTCGTGCTCTGTAGAGTCTTGTTCAGGGACAAGGGATTTAAAAAATAATAAACTGTTAGTGTTTTAAAATTATGGGAGGAACTGTAGCAATTTGGAAAGGAAAGTGTTTTATCAGAACAGAGACTTCCTGATGGTGCCTGGCAGAGGCAGAGCTGGGCAGAGCTGGCAGCTGGCTGATAGTAGCAGTACAAATGGGACGGCAGGAATCCATGGCTTTGGAGCAGCTGATGGATGAATTGCAAACACTGTTTTGTGCCCCTTTGTCTAAGGAGCCTTTGTTTTGCTGTTGGCTAATGGGAGGTGGTGGTCACCATGGCCAGGAATGACTCTCTGCATTCTTAAACTGGTGGCTGTGTCTTTTGCAGGCTGATTTTATCATCCATTGTCAGAAGAGGGCATGGAGATCCTCTTGATATTGGTCTGCCAGCTTAAATTAAGGGAGAGTCCCATCATCCTGTCCCTGGCAGGTGGGAGGGAAGGCTGCACACCTGACTGTGATACCTGGCTGTCTTCTGCAGAGAGCCTGAAGCCTCGGGCTTGGCTTGCAAAGTCATGAGACCTATTTGACATCCCCATTCCATGTTGTTCACCCAGTTTGGTCTTGCTGGACTTACCTCAATGACAGGAGAGCCTTGAGGAGGGGCAGGAGAAGCAGCAGCGGTGGTGGTGGTGGTGGTTGGCAGCCTGGTGTTCCCTGTGGGGACATTCAATTTTGCAATGAACCTCTTGGATTCTTGACAGGTCAGGTCTGTTGACCCTTCTGGGCACACTGTGGTGAGTGTTTAGTTATTTACTAAAGCCTTTTGAAGTGAAAGTGGCTTGATGGGGTCTGAGGCTTTTGTGTTCTGGAGAGTTTTGTGGGAATCTTTGCTGGGGTTAGCTATTAGCTGATCGTTTCATTATTTGCCTCTGTAACTAAGTAACTAAATGACTTGAGACTTAAGATAAGCAGCACTTTGTTAACATTTTATTAAATGGAGACTAATAATAATGATAATAATAAATTTAAAACCTAAGGAAGTATAAACCTCTCAGTGACCGAATTTGGAACAGAAACGTGATTTGGAATACAATTGCATATCTTAATAATCTGAAATAGAGCAGTCAGAGTGTCCCCAGTCCTCTATTGTGGTCATGGCTTTTATACAAACAGTCTTTACTCCACTTGATGGCTGGATGGCATAAACCATGCTGTGAGGCTGTATGAGCAGGCAGAGGAAAAGTTCACAGCTGTTTATTTAACAGCAGCGTGGTTTTCCATGGCAGTATTGTTCAACAGCTTCACCTACAAAGTTTAAATACATTGTGTGCACCGCTGTTACAAATAAGGATGTAGCTGAGAGTAGATAATAGGAGAAGCAGTGTGCCCTGTCCTGCAGTGATTAAGAACACCCAGAGTCATTCTGCATGTGCCTTTGTTGCTTGTTTGGTGTTCTGAGGGGTGACAGACAGGTGTAATTCAGTCAGGCAGTGCACCTCTGCAGGAGGATCCAATGCCACAGTTACAGGATTTGCTTATAAAGGAATCCTGTGCCTCCTTAGATGGTTTGGACCTCCCTGCAGTGAGCTGGGACATCTTCAGCCAGAGCAGTCTGCTCAGAGCCCTGTGCAGCCTGGCCCTAAATGTTTCCAGGGATGGAGCATCCACAGCCTCTCTGGGCAACTTGTGCCAGTGCCACCCTCATTGTAGAAACTTCTTCATGTCTAACCTGACCAACCCAGCAAAGGGCTGGTTCACAGGCCTCTGGTGATGGCTGAGGGTCCAGAGCTTCCAGGAGGGGTGGAGGAGCTGGATGTGATACAGGTCATCACACCTTGCCTGTGGAGCAGGGACAGAGCCCTGCTGTCAGCCACAGGGGAGCCACTGATGGTACAGCATGGACGTGAGTTCAAAATCTGTCCCTAAATCTCAGAGCAGTGCAGAAATCCTTGTGCAGTGTCCCAGGGAGAGTTAACTTTGCAGCATAGGTTGTTTATGTGCTGCTGGGAATTTCTGAACAGTTTGAACTGGTTGAGTTTTGCAGTGAAGCTGTTGGGTGGATTCATGCCTCAGAATCCCACCTGTTCTCTGTTTGCTTTTGGGCACCATTTCAAACCCACACTGGAAAAAAGTTTATAGGCAAACATTATAAAAAGTGACAGTCTTAAGTGCTGCTACATTCTAGTTTGGCAACACAAAGGGCTTACCTGAAATAATTCACAATTTCCAAACATGACTTCATTATATCATGACAACACTTTGCTGCATCTTCCCTGATACTCTAAAGTGAAAGAAATGGAGGAGGATAATTTATACCAAATGCTAATACCCGTTTGAAACTTGTTTTTCTTTTAGTGCACCAGTAATTTTCTTTGTAAAAGGAATTTTTTAAATTGTAATTTTGAAATAAATTACTGTTCTCAAGTTTGGATTTGGATTTGTGTTGAAAGACTCAGTGCAAATTTGGAGTTAGTGGTTTAAAAAGAGATGAAATCAGGGATGCGATATTCAAAAATTATTTTCATTTTAATTTCCTTTTAATTGTGTGTGGGCTCATCCTGTTAGTTTCCTGGCACTGTTCAGCAGAAGGCTTTAATGCATTTAAAGGAGGTTTGAGGTATCATCACCCAAGGTGGCTTTTAAAGAAGTTTTAACAGATATTTTTTGACTCCAGTACATTGCTGGCACAGTGTAAACTCTGTAAAAGAAATTTTTTTGCAGGTAGAGCATTACAAAGAATTCTTACTAGCTTCAAAGTAAATTAGGTAACTGGCATCAGGTACATTTTTATTTGACAGTAAAATCTAATTAAAAAAAAAATTCTCAAGCAGACTTTAACACACTCATTACTGTGATGAAATATATGTAGAAAGGAGCCCATGCTCCTTCTGGAAATTCGATTTCTAAGAGCATAATGTAGCACTCAGTGAAACACCTGCATTGCAGACCTGTGGGTTCATGACTGTATCAGCAAGACTGAATTAGTTTATAGGAGGTATAAATCTGTTTTGGAGTCTGTCCTAGACTCTTGAGATGGAACTCTGCATGCTAGGAAGTTTAGAGACCTTGTTATAAAATCTAAATCCAAGAAGCTTCACAGTCTCTGTACCTGGTTGTGTTGGGATGGGTTTCACGTGCCACCTTGGTGTGATGTGTGTGTCAAATCTGTTCTTTGGGAAAACATGTTTGCCCTAATGAAAAAGGCAGGAGAAGCTTTGATATGGCACATTCCTGTAATGACAGGATTGCAGGATGAGTGGGAGAGAAATTGGGTCTCCAAGTCCATCAGTAGAACCTGACAGCTAAATGCATGAGTGCCCCACCACGCTGGACATTCTGGTGCTCATGGAATCATATTTTGAGTTGGAAGGGAGCCATGGGGACCATCAAGTCCAACTCTCTGTTCCTTTCAGGGCTGCACAAAACTCAATTACTGACAGAACTTCAGCATTTCCAGACTCCTATCTCCAGTCCTGCTAGGATGTGGTGCTTGTTTCAGGCTTCCCTGTTGAAAGTGTGATACAAAAAATAACAACCCCAGGAGGAGGAACACTGGTTTCAGGGGTTTGGCATTCTTAGAAGGAAGTGTGGACATCAAAGAGCCACCTTTCAGTGCTCCCTCAGAGTCCCAAGCAGCCAGAGAGATGTTTTATTTATTCCTAGGCACAGAGGTTGTGCCTGTGCAGGGCAGGACGTGTCCGGGGTGCACGGGGAGCAGCTGTCTGTGTGCTCTGACCCTCCCCATGAGCAAACAGAAGATGCCTCTGTGCTTCTCTCCTTTATTACCATTCCTGCCTCCCTTGGCGAGGCCCTTGGGACAGGGATAGTGTGGTGGTAGGGACAAACCAGCTCCAGAAGCTGTGCCTGTCTGTGGGACAGCCTGAGCTCATGGTAGGTGTGCTGAGCCTTCCCTCTGCACTGTGGAGACAGCCTGGATTGCCTGGATCTTTCCCCCTGCTGAGAGCTGGCCCTGCAAGGCAGGGATGAAGCTCTAGTAACTATAGGCAGATGTAGTTTCCCAAGGATGTTTTTTTGGAAAAAGACTGTGGTTTGACATTCTTCTTGTTACTAAAGGGAGCTGACGGATGAGCCATCGCGCTCGGAACTTCTGCGCGTACTGCAACTCTGAAAGCTTTGCTTGTGCTCCTGGGTTTCTGCTGTATTCACTGGGGAGAGGTTGTGAAATAAGTAATGAAGCAAAAAAGAATTTAAAGGGAAAAGTTAATGCCATGGAGAGAAGTGCTGGTAGTGCAGAAGGGAAATGTAGAGACTGTGATGAGCACAGGGAGAAAAATAAAAGGCATCATATATTCTGTGTATAGGAACTCATGGTTATTAGCTTAGTAAGTGAAGGGGGTTTTGGGCATCCTTTTCTTTCAAAACAGAACTTTCCAGGTTTTAAAAATTAAAAAGCAACCTAAAATAAAATCACGTGGGGAAAGATAATTATTCATTTGAATTGTGGACCCAAATGCTAAGGCAGAAAATGGAATTCGCCTTTTGAACCCCTCCTTCTCCTACAAGTCCTTTGAAGCCTCCAGGTTCTGCAACCCCCATTGTCCCCTGCTCTCTGTGACTGATGAGAAGAGTAATGTGTTGGTGGGGCACTGGGGACAAGGGACATGCCAAGACACTGATCAAAAGTGCCTGAGCTTTACTCGTGGTGAACTTCTTGGAAATAACTTCAGTTTAACAACACAGAACACTGGGCTAATCTGGACAAAACATTTTTTTTAAATTTAATGTAACTTGATTTCCATGGATGAAAAGGGCCTTGACTGACCTGTGTTGGAAATTCTCTCCTTTCCCTTCTCTTTCTTCTATTTTTTCCTCCTTTCCTTCCACCTTCGCAGAGCCGCCAACCAAATACCAAATCTCTCAGCCAGATGTTTACTCAGCACTTCCAGGAGAGACGCTTGAGTTGCGCTGTCAATTGAGAGACGCCGTCATGATCAGTTGGACTAAGGATGGGCTCCCTTTGGGGCCTGACAATAGGACAGTGATTATTGGGGAGTACTTACAAATTAAGGATGCCACAGCCAGAGATTCGGGCCTCTATGCTTGCACTGCTGTTAGGACCCTAGACAGTGATACTCTGTACTTCATTGTAAATGTTACAGGTGAGTGAGTCAAACGCAGGTTTTTGCATGCAGAAGCTGTAAGATGTGATGTTAAGACACTTCATGACCTTACATGAAACAATCCACTAGGTTGAGTTGTGTAGGTGTAAATTTTATCCCCAAATTTTAAATTGTATCCCCAAATTTTTGGGGATTTTTCTCCTTGTCCTGACCCTGAAACGGGCTTAGTTTGTGTCTACTCCTTTTTCCTCCAAGGGCTCTACAGAGATTAACAGCTGCTGTAGTGCTCTCTGTTTTATGCCACTCTGACAGAATTAAATTAGACAGAGTTGCTGTGATGATGATAAAGCCACTAGAATGAATACAGGTTTTTTCCCATGCATCAGAAGAGGAAAATGTGTGTTCTACATCCTTCAAGTTTAGAGATAAATTTTTCTGGAGATGCTCAGTTCTGTTCAACTGCATTTCTGTAACAGAAGTTAAAATACTAAGCAGAAAGAGATTTTTGTAATTAGCAAACTCCCTTGGGAAAGTCTGTAGCACTTCAGGACTATTAGCTAGTTTTGTTACGATTTCACATGGAAATAGCATTTTGTGGCTGGATTTTCTTTTTCTTTAGCTTCTGCACAACTAACATAAACACTTGTTCTTCATAATATACAGTCCAAGATATAGCTTATCAATTTGTTTTTTTCTGTAAAAAAACAAAAATTAGGCTGGTTTAAAGACTTGGTTGTTTTTAATGTGCAGATGCTCTTTCCTCTGGGGATGATGAAGACGACAATGATGGGTCCGAGGACTTTGTGAATGACAGCAACCAGATGAGTAAGTAACAGAAGTCACTCCCAGAAGTCACTAGCAAGATCCACGTGGAAAACTATGTCCCATCTCTTGCACTCCTGTCTTCAGAGCTTCTTGGTTGTTAACTGCATGTACTGTCAAATATCTTTGTATCTTGTTCTCCTCTGTTTTCTGTTTCTCGTAGCTCGTAACTTGGAAAAGAAAAATAAAAATAAACTAATATTCTTTTGAACGTGCTTTTCTGGTCTGTACTTTCTTTTTTCCCTTCTTGCTGGCATTTCTGCAGTTTCCTTTCTTTCTGAATCAAAGTTTGGTCTTTGTCTGGTTTAGGCTCTGACAGATTAACTTAACTTTTCCTGAATCTGAGCAGAAACTTAACAGAAGAAACAAAGATCCCAGCTCATTTTGTTAAAAGGTGGTATGAAAACTTAAAAAAAATTAAGTTGTAATGAGGTAAATCCTTCAATCCCTAATCTCAACAGAAATCTCATCAAGGAGAATGAATTTGGAGACAATGAGGCTCTTTTGTCTGCAAAGAACCTTAAGGTTTGTTGCAAAGAAGGTGATTCAGTGCTAAACCCCCATTTTATGTTACTTAGGTGTGATGAAAATGGGCTAAAAGAGTCTTAGACCTATCTGAATGTGTTAAACTTCGTCCCCTTTAGAGAATTCATAAAGCTATTAATAAGCTCTAAATAGAGCACTCTCTTAAGGAAAAAAAAAAAGTATATAAAATTCATCTTGGCTCCTGATGCCACTGTGCAGTGCTGCCAAACCCCCTCGGTGACTGGTGGTTTGCTGTTGCTGGTGCCTGCTAAATTCAATAACAGCGAGAGCGCAGAAATCCTTTGGGGGAGACGTCAGTGAGCAGCACCCACAGTGGGCAGGGGGTGTATTTGCTGCTCAGCCTGGTCAGGAGCTGCAGCTGCCCTGCAGCTTGGAGCACTTGTCCAGGTGAAAAAGCACGAGCCTGATTTGGGCTGCCCCGTTTGTGCCTTTTGTGTGCGGCTGCCCCCGGCCTGAAGCTGTGAAACATTAGATGCTATTTAAAGTGATATAAGTTCCTAGCTGCCTGTTTGGCCCCTGCCATCTGTTAGTGTGATTAACCCCGGGCTGATGCACAGGTGCCTCTGGAAGGGGCTGAGATCAGGCAGCTGGAGGCTGCCCTGACAGAGGAATGCAGTGGCAAAGAGAATTGGAGGGCTTGGAGAAGGGACACTGCTTTTAAAAGAGGTTGTCTAGGCAAAACCCGCCAATCCAGGCAGTGTTAGCTCAGCCCTGAAATGGAGCCATGGTTAGGAATTCCCATTAGGAAACATTTCTGATGTTTGCTGTTCCTTAAAGCTTTACTGGTGTTGGTCAGAAAAAGGCTTGCAACGTTTTCGGTGACAATTATGCTCCTGATCTGCAGTGGTGGCTTTGGTGATCCATTGTGAGCATAAATGGCTTTTGGAAGAAGTGAAGGACCTGCTCTCAAGGCAGCTGTGCTCTGTAATGGTCTCAGAAGGATTCCTGCCCTTCCAGCCACAGGGAGCAGTGCCCAGCGGTTGCGCTAATGACGTTCTTGTAAAACGAGCTATCATTTTAAGCTACTGTTAATCAATCTTGATTGGGGAGCTGGTGAAAGGCCCTTGACAGTGTCCATCTGCTGGCACAGGGCTGTGTGCTGCAGCAGGGGCCAGCACACTTTCCCTGCTCTCAGTGAAAGATGCCTCTCAGGCGTGAGCGTTCAAACATCGCGGATGGCGGGGAAAGCGCAGCTGTGGAGATGGAAGGGAGGAATCTGCAAAAGACAGAATTGGGCCTGAGCAGAGCATTCCACAAGCAATTCCTTGATGGATTGCTCTTTGAAAGGTGCCCACTGTCTGCTGGGGGAGCAGCAAAGCTCCCAGGGTCTGAGCTGGAAGCAGGACGATGACTGAAGGGTCGCGGCACCGTGTCCCTCCAAGCATTCTGTGTTCAGTGAAGAGTTGCATCACAGTAACTCCCTTGGATTAATACAGGGCTGCTGAAAGAGGGTTGTGATTTGGCAATTTATGTGTGAAAGTCGGGGTGGGACTTGGTGTGGTGTGCCTTGTAAGCCTTCTTTTCCTCTTCCAAGTCCTCTATCACATCCAAGAGGCCCCGTGTAATTGAAGGTACTGTGTTACAAGGCAGATGGAGGAGTGAACCAGGAGCTGTGCCTTCCCTGGGTGTGCTGTGGAGCAGTACACAATGGCCAAATGCCCTTTACCTTCCCTGCCTGTGGGATGTTGAGCCTGGCAAAGTCCACGACCTCACAATGGGCCCTGGCTGCTGCTCTTCTACAGAAGTCTTTTAAATGTTTCCTCAATCATGAGCCTTGCAGATCTCAAATGATTTAACTGATAATTTGCATACAAATTATAGCTGTGATCATTAAGGATAAGCAATGGAAATTGGCCTGGTTATGCCTTTACTGATGGAAACAAAAGGCCATAGTCTTCAAAGGTTGTTGCTTTTTGATGAAACAATTCTGATAAAGTCCAGCTGTCTTGGCATGTTAATTATGATGAGATGAGGCAGGAAATGGCTGTAGTGCCTTCAACAGGAAGCTGAACCTTGGCATTCTCATTCCTGCATACTTAAAACTAAAACAAACCTTTTAGAGCTGTTTTATTTACACTGCTAAGTATTCTTTTGAGCTGTTTTATTTTCCTTGCCTCTGTTGCAAATACATATTTCGGAGGCCAAGGTTTCTGAATGCAGGTGGAGAGGCCGTTGAGGAAATCTAGTGTAATTTTCGAGGCTGCCCAGAAAACACAATTGTTCTTGGAGTCAGTGGAGGCTGTAGGTGACTCTCTAGATGTGAGGAGCAGCTCTTCCTTGGGAGAGGAGGGCACTGGTGTGTACCCATGTGCATTTGACCACTGGCCCTGTGTGTATTTTTCAGTGAGAGGCACACAGAGCAGATTTCACTCTGCGTTTGCTGTCCCTTCAGCTTGACAGATACTTTAACTGTCTGAAAAAACACTGTGGTAGATTTGTTCCAGACTGCATCCTGAATAGCTTTTTATTACTTCCAGCTTTTGTTGAAGGGATTAGTGCTCGTGGGGAAGGTGCAGGATTGGTTCCACTGCAAAACAGTCCCCTTTCTCCACAAAATGGCTTTGTTGGCAACTCAAGTTTTCCCCTTTGTTACCCTAAAGATGGGCCTTAGCTTGGTTCTTGGAGGGTCATCTCCAAGGACTTGGTTTTACAAGCTTAATGATCATCATTCTGGCAGCAGTGGAAAAGACATTGCTGGCACTTACTGCCTTGTCCTTGTTGAGATTTTGAGAGGTAGCCCTAATTTGAGGGATTTCTATACTCCCGACCTGATACTGGCAAGGCAGCAGCTGTCGTGGTGGTTGCAATCAAGTCCACCAACTAATTTATTCTGTAGACCTCTGGGTAGCCCTGAAGATGCTGCTGCTCTGCCTTGAATTCTGGTCAGGCAACTGGAGGCTTTATGACTTTTTTTTTTTTTCCTTATCGCCCTTTAAACAATTTCTTCTGGGCCAAGCAATGGTAAATTGGCACCAAGAACAAAAAGTATCTAAATGTAATCCACATGCTGTTCCTTTCATGCCTTGAAGAGTTTCAGAAAGGATGAAACAAGGTTCAAATTCATCAAATCCTGTAGAGTGGAAACCCACTCAGGGGAGCAGCAAAAATTGGATGTTGCCTAGAAGTGTTTTTTAATTAAAGGTCAAATACAATAGTACTGAAGACCTTGGAGGGGTTTGATGTGGTCACTTATGGCGCTCTATTGCCTGCTTGAGGAGCTTGTCAAGCAGGCTTGGAGTTGACTACTTTTGTGTTTCTTTGTATTAGATAAGTCCAAATAAAAACTGAAGAGTCCTGAAGTGAAGTGGTCCCCTGGGCTTCCTAATTTCAATTTCACATGCAGGAGATTTGGCTGATTAGATGTAATGTCTGTGCAGTGTGGGTCAGCAGGATATTTTCCTCACTAATGAGAACTCTGAGCAATCAGGAATTCCCACCCGTTCCCCTGCTGCTCCTTGCTGCTTCATGCTGGAGTCTGCCCTGTGGTTGCTGTGAACTTTTAGCAGTGGTGCCACCTACTTCACCTGTTCTGGTGGCAGTGATGGGATGTGATGGACGTGGCCCGTGAGAGCAGTCAGCCCCTGGTACTCATTTACTGTGTTCATTATCAGTTTTAGTGAAGCTCGGTGTTTTTCCTCTCAAGACAAATAGAAGCACTAAAAGGTGTTTCAGGTTATGATGATTTAATCTATAAAGAAGAATGCTGTGTGTTGATCAGATCAATCACTGGATGAAAGCACGATTTGAGGGCAAGTGTGATGGTTTGTGGATGTTGCTGCCTTTTCCTCTTTTCCTTGAACACGCTGAGGAGCTGCCAAATGTAGGATGTCTTGAAGCATTTTCAGATGGTGCTTTCCATATGTGATGCCTGCATGTTTTTCTCCAAGCTGACCTGTAATTTAGGAGCATTGCAGGTTATGCTTAGGGTTGTGTGAAGAGAAGGTTTCCAAACAGGCCTTTCTCCCATTCTGGGGTGTTCCACAAAATGGAGCTGCTTCTCTTCATTCCTGCCTGCATCTGCCTGGCCTCTTTTTTGCACCCATCTCTGTCAGAGATTTCCCTCTGTTCATTTGTTGTATTGGAGCATATTCCAGGAGCAGGTTGTTGATGGAAAGGATAGTTATTTTCAAGAAAACCAGAGGATGGGCTGGACCATAACAGTACAAACCTGGCTGTGTGGAGCAGCTTTATTTGGGGAGCTGCTGGTGGCTGCACCCTGACTGACTCCAGAGCCCTGGTCCCAGTCTGCAGCCTGGTGGGAGCTTCCCAGAGCTTGGCCCTTCCATCCCGTGGGCTGCAGGGCAGCTTTGCCATGGGTGAGCCCGTGGCTCAGAGGCTGTGCTGGACAGTGGCTGCATGTGAGCTCTTGGTGCCCTGCGCTGTGAGAGGGGTTTGTGTGATGGATGTGGTGAGAAGTGACCCTGCTGGCTGCAGAGTTGCTGGGTTGGCAGTACCCACCTGGGGCTAAAGCAAGCCCTCTGCTCTGGATGGGGTGCTGATACAGCTGGTTTGGGTGGTTGATGGTCTTCGATGTGCCCCAGTTTGCTTTGGCTTTGTGGGAGCTGCAAGTAGGGCCCAGCAGTGGCTGCCTTGTGGAAGACTTTGAGCAGTCCAGGGAAAACAGCTTTTTAATCCCTCAGTACCAGCATGTAATTCTGCCTTTGCCTGGTGTACTTGTAATGCAATTTGGCCCTTGCGTGTAGGAGTTGATTCCTCTGGTTGGCTTTTGTTTAAAGTCTTCTGTTGTTTTAATGTGATCCTGCTTTTAGCAAATAATGTTAACAGTGATTTTCCTTACATCTCTAATTCACTTTTGTCTGCGTAACAATTTCTTAGTGTTGTAGTTAAATGTTCAATAGTTACTTGATTTTCTATTTTGATTACATGCATAAATTTGCTTTGCTTTTCTACTTCATTAATTTTAACACTAATTGCCACTTCAGGCAAAATAAAAACCCAAACACTTATCGTTCATAGCATCATTATAGGACTTGCTTTTAGAATGTTTTCTTTATACTGAGAGAGACTTTGTTAAAGGATTTATTCCTGTATTTTCTGTCCAGCTGTATTTTTATTTAGAGAGGGGGGTAGCAGGATTTCTGAGTTTGCACTGATTGTAAGAACTGCTATAAATATTTGAGGAACGGAAGAATTTATTTATAGTGGAGTGTTGGCCTGCTAATGAAGGAAATGAAACAGGGCTGAGAGAAATGGAGTTATTTTTCTGGACCCCTCTAGTCCTAAAAATTCCACGCTAATCTGATTTGCTTCAGGAAAACTCCATTGTAAAAGAAATTAATGTTTCCTACTATTAAATAGATCTTGAATCTTTAACTAAAAAAAAAACCAACTGTTATGGTGAGATGACTGAAGCAGTGCCATGAAGTCGTTAAGAAATGTAGATGAAGCTGTGCAAGGATCCAGAGGATGGGATAACTTTGTCTTTGGGTCTATGTATCCAAGTTTACTTCTGTGAGGGTAAACACATATGGGCAATTGTAAATTTTATTCTGCTGTGTTTCCTTTGCTGGTACATGACAAATGTGCTTCTCATGATGTTCATGTGGGCACAAGCTGGGCCAGGACATGGCAAGGAGTGAGCGAGAGCCAGGAGGGCCATGCCAGGGTTTGGGAAAATAATCACCTCAGAAAATGTGTGTTGAGAGAGAGGCACTCTCACTTTATGCCATGGTTTTGGATGTCACTGACCCTTTGGACTTCAGGAGGCTCATTAGTGTGGGAAACCCCTCCAAAATGATAAATGTTTTTTGGTGATCCACATTTACTCGTTTGGTTTCCTCTGCTTGGGTTAAGATTTCAGAAATATGTTCCATTTGTAAATACATTTCTGTGGTTTCTATGCACAGTTCACCTTGGCATCCCACACTGCAGGCTTTAGCTGCTGTCAGAATGGGGGACTTCTCACAGAAGGGGAAAGTGCTGATGCTTCCAGGCATCTTCTGTCTTGGTCTGTCTGGCTTCACAGCTGAGGGCCAAAAATTCTGCGTTTGAACCATCGCAGTAACTCAGCTCAAGGTCCAAAGTCCCTGTGTCTTACTTGACATACACAAAACAAAAGTTGTCTGTGGTTAATTATTGGAATTTTGTCACAAGTTAAACACCCAGAGCAGCAGACTGAGCCATTTGCAAAACCCTGGCTGACACTTGCAGCAGCCGATCTCCACTCGTGTGCCCTTTCCAAACCCTGCTTGAAGCGGGTCCCTGCGGCTCCGTGCGCCGGTGGAAGGGGCTGGAGGGGGAGCTCCGTTCCCAAGTGCTGATGTTTCTGGATGTGTCCCTTTGGAACAGGGGCACCTTACTGGACGCACACGGACAAGATGGAGAAGAGGCTCCACGCCGTGCCGGCCGCCAACACCGTCAAGTTCCGCTGCCCAGCCATGGGCAACCCAACGCCGACCATGCGCTGGCTGAAGAACGGGAAGGAGTTCAAGCAGGAGCATCGCATTGGTGGCTACAAGGTAAGGGCTCACCATGGCATTTTGGGATTTCTCTTCTTGACCAAAGCTGTTTAAAAAAAAAAACCCCAACCAAACAACTCAAAACCAGCCCTCCTCCCTCTCTAAAAAACTCAAAAACCTACCAAAAACTTGCTGAAGTCCACAGAAAATGTTTTAATGGCCTTGGATCAAACGTGAAAGCAAAAAGAGGTGGTTGTTTTCTTCTGGGGAAGGGTGGGTGGTTTATTTGGCGGTTACTGAGTACTAATTATTTATTTTTTTTTCTGAAATTCAAGCTTCTAGCCTAGCAGTGCAGCTAAGGATTATTTATAGAGACGTATTTGGAAAACTAAAGACTGACCTAGCAAAGCAGATTAAGACTGTTTTGCTCTATTCATTTTTGGCTGCATTGTTAAAAACATGGCCATCCGCTTTGGTGAGTGTAAGGCAGTTTAATAAAGGAAGCCTTGGAAGTCAAAAGTTATTATTTTCTATAGAGTTTATGGCCTGTGAAACTGAAATGGGAAGAAGAATTTGAGGGGAAAGTAGCAGCAATTACTTGGAAGGGTTTGTTTGAATTTTAAATGGCTTCAGATTAGATGTCTTATTCTGAGTTGGTGGTTACTGATTAAGAGAGAGTTTTAGGGAGGCCAGCTTGCTCTGTGTGTTAGTGCACAGACCTTTAACCTCGTGGTATCTGCCTGGGTCAGGTCAGAAGTCAGGATTCGGTCATCTGATCCCTCTCCTCCAAGGAACTGGGAATGCGTGACTTTGGTGGCAAATTGCTGTTCAAGCATGGCCATTTCTGACTCCCCTTCACCTCCTGTCTGGGTCTACTCTCGGCAGTTTCCTCATGTCCCTGACACCTCTGCAGCTCCTCCTCCAAGAGGAGAATTTTCTGAGGCAGTCCCCTTGTGTCAGGGTTGGAATCCCCATCCTGGAGCTTGTGCTGAGCTGCTCCGAGCAGTTTGGAATGGCTGTTAGACACAAATTAGCTGTCTTTACTAGACAGAGCTCAATTCTGAGTCCTGAGGCTGCCCCCCAGTCCTGCACCACTGCCTTGCCCCCATGGTTTGCAGTGTTTCTGGGGGGCTGCCTTGGTTGAGCCATTGCTTTGTGAGCTGTTGATTCAGGTCCTGCCCGGTGCACAAAATCTGTTTTCCAGTGCAGAGGAGGACAAGCCTCAGTCTCCTTTCCTCTCTAGCTGGATTTACTGTAGAAAGTGTCAATTTTTCCAACATTTGTGTTAGCAGAGAGCAGAGCCCAGAAAGTCTCCCTGCATGAGCACTAATTATCTAAGTAGACTTTTCCATCTATGTTTGCTTACACCATAAATTTCTGTTGCTTATGAGTGTACACCTGGCAACACCTTCTGCCTTTCATAACACTGTGGAGTGTTAACGAATTGGCTCCCATTCAGTGATTTTTGCCCTTCTCAGTGCTTTTTTAAAAACAAAAAAAAGCACCAATTAAGGGAAAAAAATCCCCAACCAAACTAATCCTGTCTTGGAAAATAATAGTAACTGTTCTGGTGGTAACCAGGCTGTTATTTTGAACACTTTGCATCTGATGGAGGGGAAATGAAGATATCACTCTTGAAGACCATGAAGGAAAATGTGTGTCTAGAGAGACAGGATGGAGGTACCTGGTGTCTGCTCTGGGAGGGGGATCTTTGGTGGGGTAAATCAGCTCATGTGAGGCTCTGTGCTGGCACTGCTAGTGTTAGGGAGCTGGGTGAGATCATTTAGAGTTGTGCCCATTAAGTGGCACAAATTAAGCTTTTGGTCATGTGTGTTAAATGTGTGCAGTTTCCCAGGTGTGTATGTACTGTGAGAAGGAGCCACAGATGCCTGCTCCTAAAGCCAGCTGGATACCTGTGAAGTCTGTGCCTCTAATTCTAAATCATAACTTCCTCTATCTCTTTAGTCCAAAGGAAAAAAGAGGGCACACAGCTGAGGATTTTCTTTTTGCTCACAAAGACATTACATTTTAAATTATCTTGTAGGATTTACTTACCATTGTCAAATCAACCAAATCCATGTTTATTCTACATTCTGTCATTTTGAATAATCATCTTTGAAGATGAAAGCTTGTTCCCAGTGAATGGGTGTTAAAGAGTGAGGACTCCAGAACTTTTCTTTTTTGAGCTGTGTCCTCATCTGTTCTAGGGGCAGGGTGAAGTCACTGTGGGCTCATGCAAAATTATACTAGAAAAGAGAGAATTGTATTTTTTTGACATCACCATGCCAATGAACTTTTAATGAAGGAGTCCTCAGGAAGGACTGAGTCTATCATTGTTAGTCTGTGTTTAACCAGGTGTCACAGCAGCTCGTGCTAAATCTTGCACATTAGCTTGTCTTGAATCTGAGTGTTGCTCTCTGCAAGGCATTTTTGATGGAGATATTTACAATTTTTGGGATAGAATAGCTGGATCCAAACCTGGCCATATCTGACAGAAGAGACAATCATCCCTTGAAGCCTTAAGGGACAAAGGGAAGGGAAGGAAAACTTGAAGCTTCCCAGTAATCCTTCAGCCACCTCTTTCCTGCTAAGAGCTGAGAAATCCCTTGCTGTATTGTTTTTATCAAAATCAGATAGGGGCCTGTAGCACTTTGTCCCTTTGACTGGGGAATGTCTTGAGTCAATTTGCACTCAGGCAGGCTAGCAGGAGGGTGTATGTTCTGGCCAAGATAGCTTCCAGGGCGGAATTCCTGCACTGTGACTAATTCTGGGTGGTGAATTTCAAAATTGATCCTTTAATGATCTTTCAAGATATACCCAACCTCCTCAAAATAACGAGAACAGGATCAGTTATTGAATATATAAATTCATTTTTACTCTGATTTTTTTGAAGTGATGATAACTCTTGTTTGTGCCTTTAGAGGCATTTTATATTTTCTTTGAGTTGATAATCTAAATCCTCTCTGAGACCACAGGAGCCTTTTCTTTCCTGTACACCACCCAGAAAGCAAATGCACTTCTATCAGCTGGTACTGTTTAAGCATTAGCACTTGTGTGTTTGCCCCTATGCATTTGGATAAGCTTCATCACTGCAGCTGTCTTAAACACATTTAAATTCAGCCAGGTAAATACAGAGTAAGAAAATTTATCATTACAGGAACACTGCACAGGCCCATGGCCTTTGCCAGGGGTGTTCTGTACTTGTTCTCTTTGTCTCAGCAGTACCTCTCACAGTCTGCACTGTGCTGCTTTTGTGGAGAGTTGTATTTTCATTTCCAATCCTTCTTTCCTTTGAAATGAGTATAAAATTGATCCATTTTTAGCTAAGTGACGTTTTCATGACATTATCTCTCCAGTGAAGACACACATTTTAAGACTGAACAGAACTGTCCACTGTTCTTTACAGGATACTCCAAGAGCAAAAAGTTTATATGAAAAATTCCTTGCCCTTTCCCAGTTGTCTGATCAATATTCCTTGGCATTTTGATTCCAAGGGTTTGTTTCCCACCTCCAAGTTTCGAGTGCAGTTTATATGCATTTCGTACAGATAATTCAGTTTAAAAATCAAATCTTTTGGGGAGATTGTTTGGAGAAATGGTTAAAACCTTGATGGAGAAGATTTCCCCTCCAGTAAAGTGCTAGGAGTGTCCATAACTAGTCAGTAAAACACCTGGACTGAGGGATGTGGCATTTCACATAAAAAAGTCACATCACCAAAGCCTGTGTTTCAAGCTGTGTGGGTGCAGGGATGTGGCTGGACTGTTGCATGTCTGAGAATGAAATTTTGAATTTGGAACTCTTCAGTGAGAGAAGAGGCTGCTCGTCCCCAGCAAAGGGGGATTTTCCTGGACTTTGCAATGCTGCACTTGTAGCCACAAAGCACTAAGCCAACAGTCTTGTTGGATCCAGATCCCTGCCATAAATCCAGTTGTCTGGCAATGTGTCATAGCTGCTTTGGACCTCTGCAGCAGTTGTTTAGCTTAACCCAAAGTGGCTTAAGCTGTTGTTTTGTTATAAAGATATCTCTGTCCGTGGAGTTACAAGAAGGGAAATTGCACAAATGCTTTTTAATATTCCCATCCAGTATATCCACTTGTGGCTGTAAGTTAAGTTTTCTTATTGAACATAAACAATTTCTTGTGTTTTCCTGTCAAATTAATTACCTGCAGCGTGTTTACAATTTTTATTTGTTTTAACTTTTGTGGAACGGTGATCTGGTCTTCCTGTTTTACAATCAGATTGGTTAAAAACTCTGATTCCAGGAAGTGTGTTTTAACTTGTAATGGCAGAAAGTTCAGGCCACTTTGACCAAGTGTCCTTTAAAATAAATCACAAAGAAGTAAAATACTCAAAATATGTAGCTGTTGTATTTATTTACCAACAGTTTATCATGCAGCTCTTCCTGACCCAAACTTTGACTTTCAGAGTTCCTTAGCAGAACAACAAGATGTCAAAGTAACACTGATAAACTCTTTCTAGTTCTATGAACTTATCCCTTAGCTCTTCACAGTGTGAAGAAAAATCAAGATATCATTTTGATGGAACCACTATAATTGTTTGACCATCAACATGAGGGGCTGAGGAGAGAAGCCTTAAGTTTGGGCTGGAGATTTTGAGGCTGTGTCACACATTTCTCTGATGCTAGCTTAGCACCTTCTCCTGCTGGACTCTTGCCCACACTTTCTTAACTTTTCAGAGCCCACATGGCCAGTCATTAGCTAATATTATTAGTCCACAACTGAGCAATAAGAGACATATCCAGCTATTGAGATAATTACTAGCTGGGGGAACTAGGAAAGCCAGGAGCTGCCTATAGAGAGAACTTCTCTTCCAAGCTTTGAACTGAAGGCATTTTTACCTCCAGCAAGTGCTCTTGGCACTGGGATGTGGCCCTTTGCAGCTTTTTCTGCTGGATGAGGACCTGCAAAATAGTCAGGCACGATGCAGGATTTCATAGCTATAGTTGTAATGATGTTTTAAGAATGTATGGTTACTGGAAGCATCACTGAATGATCCATAATTTTTTCTGGTGTACAGCACTGAATTACTGCTTTCCATTTGGCTGATTAAAATGACTGTAGCAGATTGTGTTATTCCATTTGCTGAAATATGTACTTTGCAGTTGAAGAATTGTGCACTGCAGCTACAGAGAATGTTAAGCTTTCTGAGCACTTTGTCAAAAATGTAATGCTGAAACAAGGCATTAGTCCATAGCCAGCAAAAGGTCAGTTTGGGAGCCAACTTCTGATGCAGGAAATATATGTGTGTACAGGATGGCTCCAGCACTGGGCTAAATCCTATTTTCTGTGAGACCAAAGCCAGTGCTCCTTTGGAGTTCAAATGGGAACAGAATCAGTACCTTTAATAAATTCTGTCTGAGGGGGATTCTGTGAGATAAATGTATATCCTTATGCTCTGTTTCCATGAAGATTTTTTCAGGCATTTTCCATGAGGCAGCATGACTGTAGGATTCATTTTTTCTTGGGGTACCCCAAACAGCAGGAGGTATTTGGGAGGAATCCCAAACATCACCCCTCAGTTTCTCTAAAATGTGAGCTGTGTCATCGAGCTTTTAGGAGGGGTGAAGACTTAAATGTTTAGGGGGATCATGTTCATGTCCATCCTGTCTTGCTGATGGGTGGTTATTACCAGGTGGCTGTTTGGAGACAGATGGGGAATGCCCTGAGGGTGTGCATTCACTTTAGAGTGGATTGAAAGGTAAAGCCCAGTAAGACAACTGCTGCTAATTGGTGCCATCCTGCTCAGCCTGGGAGGACTGAGTGTGCACTGACATCTGCAGTGCTTGGAGCAGGGGCCAGGTAGATTTACAGCAGAGGGTGTGAAAGCTTTCACTCTGCAGCCATGCTGTCCTGGATCAAGCATAAATAATTTCAATGTCCAGAACTGTCAGACAAGCACAGCAGAGGCTTCCAGCTGTGAATTACACAAGGATAATTATTCAAGGAACAGTTCTTTTTGAAGGGGAGAGGGTAAAACTGTGCTTGAGGAGATCCCAACCTGTCTGGTTGCATCCCCAGGTCCGTAACCAGCACTGGAGCCTCATCATGGAGAGCGTGGTGCCGTCGGACAAGGGGAACTACACGTGCATCGTGGAGAACCAGTACGGCTCCATCAACCACACCTACCACCTGGACGTGGTTGGTAAGTGCAGCTCTCATGGGCAGGATACTGCTTTGCACTAATGACTTTCTCCATGAAACCATTTGGAGCTGAGCTGATACGTTCCGCGTTTATTTTGGAGATGATTTCACAGTACTCCAAAGATGAGATTTCACTGCACAGCCAATTGCTTCATAACTTTATATATTCATCTGTCTCACTCGTGCCTGTAGGATTAATCTAGCCCTGCCTTGGCAAAAAGTGTAATATCCATGTGCAACATCCACCCACAAGTTTGCCATGATGACCAAATAATACTTGCTGATGCAACTTCAATCATTAGTATTACAATTTAATTATTACTTGTACAATTGTACTAACACAGACTTTAATAACTGCAGTGATGAAAACTGTCAACCAATCCTTTAGAGTCCTGTTATTATAGTTTTATAGCTGAAATGATTTTTTTTTTTTTTTTTAATGAAAAGCTAGATACTGACTTTGCAGTTAGAGCAGATCTGGAGCTTCAGGAAGGGCAGTTTGCATTCACAGCAGTCCAACAGAAATCTGACTGGAGCCTGTTGGGTGGGCTCTGAGCAGTCCCCAAAACACAGATGATAAAAATTCAGAAGTGTTTCACCTGAGGACAAATTCTAAACAGCTGTGTGATTTTTTAAGTAGTAGCAAAGCTGTGATTATGCATGACTATTAAACACAGGCTTAATAATATTACCTTATTAATACCTAAATCCTGTTGACTTTAATAAGGCTTACAGATTTTTATTTAAGTGGTTAGCTAAATTAGAGCTTGAAATCTCAGGAATAATTTCTGTTCACCTCTAGTCTTTTTGATTAGCCTTGAAGGGTGTGAGCAATTTTATTGACTCTGAAGGCATTGCTGTCCAAAATAACCAGTGTGGCTTTTCTTGTAGGACCTTAAGGGATACAAGCCATGGTTTCTGAAGTATGTCTTGAATGGGCTTTGCTCTCTCTGCCTTTGTGAGGTGATCTGAGCATTATGAGCTCTGTGAATAGAACTTTTGATCAATCACTATTGAAAGCAAAAATTAATTTGATTATTGTATGCTATTTTTGGCTGGTGACAGTCAGCCCAACTCCATAGATTCTTCTAGAATATCTTACTGTAAGTGTTACATCTTACTGTAAGGGCTTATAGGGCTTAAGTGCTGACAAAATGTTGATTTCCCTAGTTCTTGCTTGGTTTTGTATGAGTAAAAATATATCCCTTGCATTGTTTTGGATGGTCTTTAAAAGTAGTGTCTCGTTTCATCTGAGACCACCTAAATCTGCATAAACACCCAAATCCAAGAGAAGACAAAGTGCCAGCTTCGTGGGTGGCACGAAAGGAAAACATTCCCTGTGAAAATGCCAAGGAGAGCTAGTCTTTGTGGAGCAGAGGAGGAGAAAGATCTCTTTGGGATGAGGATGCCATCAGACCAGAGCCCCACCACCAGCCCTCGTCCTTCAGAGCCCATGAACCACCCAACTCACCTGTACTTGGGTTTGGGCAGTCAGCACTGCAAGCAGTGAGGATTTACATGGCCATGGCAATATTTTGTCACAGAGTGAGCTCTGGGTATGGTTGAGGTGAGCTGGCAAAGCCATTTTTTGTTTGAACACTTGTTTAAACAGAATTTATGGAGGGTGCAGCAGCAACGGCTGCCGGGGATGGGTGTCAGTTGTTGTAGTGAGCTGTGTCCTGCATGGTGTGGTCCTCTGCCTCACCTCACCCAGGGCTCAGGCTGCCTGCAGGGGCTTGCCAGGCTCTAAAAACCTTTCCTTGCTGAAATGAAACTGGTTAAAAATTCCCCTTCTCTACCCCCTCTTCGTTTTCCTGTCCCAGCCTGGCGTGTTTCGTGTTGACCATAAATTTCTTCACCCATTTTTTTTTTTTCCTAGCAAATGTGTTCATGGATGATGCAGTCACTTGAGCAAATATTTGTTAGAATCCCTCTCACCTCCTCTCCTGCTTTGAGCCTTTTGAATGTCTTGCATTGAGGAATATTTTGCAGAAGTTTATTTTTCCTGGCAGTAAATTATAGTGACCTGCATGAATGAATGGAATGGTAGTAAGGATTATGTCATTTATTTAAATGTCTAGTCCTTTCCTATAGAGAGGCAGGAAAGTAAATATTGAGGTTTTCGAAAATGATGAGAGGTTTGGGGTGCTGGGTACCCAGCTGATGGCACCCAGAGAACACTGCTTGTGTCCTGTAAGAAATGAAACCAGAAGTCCAAAAATTATCTTTGCAGGTCACAACCTGAGTTTTGGAGTCCTGCATACTTAGTAATTTCACCACTCTTTTTAAAAAATTTCATTCAAGGGTATAATTGTGAGTCTGTTTGGAAACCTGTGCATGGGAATGTGCACCTTGGGTTGAGTTTAGTGTGAATCTCTCAAGAGATTGGGATTTTAACCTAAAGGGGGTTGATGTTGGAGTGCTCGGCCATTCCTCTGTTGCTGGAGGTTTGCAGTAATTGTGGAGCATAAAATTGCTGAAGCAGTAAATTAAGGCTGGCCAGAAGGGGAAACTCTGACAGTTTTTCTAGCTGAGACAGTTCTACAGAGTTAACTTTATGCCCTTTTTTCTGTTTTCATATGAATTTTCAGTTCCCTGTTTCTCTTTTCCTATGGATTTTCAGTTCCCACAGGGTTGTGGAGAGTTATGAATGTTTGTTTAGAGGCAATTGCCTACGTAGACCGCATCTTGCGAACTCCAGGTCGTAATTTTAGGTCAAGTTCTGTGTAGAAAACTGTCAGTTGAAAGCCTCTGAAATTACTTTTCCTATATGGTTTAACTGGTTCCAGAGCTGATTAAGTGTAAGTAATAGCAAATGGTATTAAACATGGTAACATATTACACTAACATGAGCATCTGACTATATGGTGTAATGTAGAGAACCCTCTGATTATGTCACAGAGTTGGGAGGTATCCCAGCAAAAATCGTGCCAAATAGTGACACAATGCTAGTTAGGAATATGCCAATAACTTTCCAAACCTTGAACTCTTTTGACAATTAAAAGCCTGGAGCCAGCAGGGCTGAGAAGTTTTCAGTCAGAATGTAGGTGTGAAGTATTCTCATTTTTACCTTGTAATTACTTGCAAGAACTCTTTAGAGTCAGCTCAGATGGTCTTGTTCAAATTTACAGACCTGGCAAAACCCTTGCACTGATTTTTTTTTTTTTACAGTGGGAGTAGAAAATACAGAAGAAAAAAAAAAAGGCAGCAAGTCATTGGCAGCCTCTCAACTGCACAGGATACTTGTGCACAGTGACTGTGTTAGCAGGGAATGGCCCATTCCAGTTGGCCAGGATGTTCTGTGCTGGACCAAGTTACTCTTTGAATGTTTGGGATACCCCAATCAATGGCCTTTTCCTTCCTTCTCCATTTCCAAGTGGGGATTGAAGCAGGGCTTTGCTCAAGGACTCAGATGTGTTTGCAGTAGTGGCAAATGGTGGTGATACAAAACCCCACCGGGATGCTGTGAAAGGGAGATGAGTCAATTTTAGCTTCTTATTAGAGTAGTACACAGAGCCTTCAATTAATATTGGATACTTATTGTCCAGGGCAACATGCCAGCACACAGGAATTGCTTACAACAGAAATACAGCAAGGCCAGGAGAGGGAAATGTCACTGTCCATTTTAGAGATGAAAACCTGAGCTGTGGAGTGATGAAATTTCTTGCCCTGGGTCACACAGGAAGCTGGTGACAGAGCCAAGAAGCAAAGCTGGTCTTTGAATTCTAATCCAGTACCTTAATTAAAAGAACTTTCTTTCCCTTGTACAGCTTAGCCCATTAGCTGTTTTTTTACATGCAGCTGAAGTGCCTTTTCTCCTCCTTTGTATTTAACAGTAGGTAGAAACTTGAGTTTTTATGGCAAGCTTACTAATAGACTAACTCCATTCTCAGTGCACGTTTATAAAGTTGTGCAACCTTGAGGGAGAAGGACTGAAAACGATGTGGTTTTCACTTATGAGTTGCATTGTAGTGAATCCGGGCTGTAGGAAGCAACGTGGGAATGCAGCCACTGAGACTTGTATATAATTAGATCACTCTTGGATGGCAATTATTGCTGGAGTGCAATTTCAGCAGCAGCAGTTCTGTTTGAGCATGGAGGAGCTAATTGAATTTGGGTTTCAACAGCAGAAGAAAAAGAAGGTTACTCTTTGAGCAGTCCTGCTCCAGGTAGCCATTTCTGCCCTATTTAATGTTGTCATCCTGGGAGACAAAAGATGGTTTGGTTTCAGGTGAAGTTTGTCACATTACCTCATTTAGTGGGATTTATAAGCAGCTGCTATAGCACAACACCTCTACAAAGAATATATGATGACCCTGCTATTTGCTATAAAAATGAATATGTTGCAAATACTTTTTTTTCCAAAAGAAGCCCTTTTCCAGCCAGGTTAGCAGTAGTTTAAACAGTTCCAAATTTGACTAATAGCCATGCCTTTGGCTCTCTTTGCTGAGGAGTGAGCTCCAGGGGTGGCAGAGCACAACACAGCTGTCCCTTAACAGTAATTCATATTTTCATATAAAACCAGTGTGAGAGTAACTTCTCACCCAGAAAGCATTTTAAATGACTCTCAGTTTAAAGCTTGTGCCTCAGAAATCTCATGTATGAGTGATTTTACTGGTGGCTGTACAGAAAAACACTTTTATTCTGAACTCTTGGTGGGTTTAGAGGATATATTTTAGGATATTATAAGATATCCTATTTGCTATAGGATAAATTTTGTTCTTGTTTTTTTTTTACGGCATGCTGTTAAAAGTCTTGCTAAAATGGAATCGACATTTTGCTATTGGTTCTTCACTGTTTATGTTTCCCTTCATTTAGACAGAAGGAAAAACTTCTGCTTTTGCTTCTAGTCAAGTTTTATTTTTGGACTTTCATGTGCTCTCCCAGTCTCTAGCTGCGAACATGGCATGAGCACATTTTTTTTTTTTTAAAAGACATGTTTCCATTTTGTCATTCCCAAATTCATAGAAACATATGGACTGTTGTTTGCCTTTTGCTGAG